GCTTAGATATAAACGTGTCAGTAATATTTTTGGAATAATTTTCGAGTAAGAACTTGCATATATGGCTTTACACGTTGTAGAACTTGGATGCGAGACTTTAGATCGCATTGTAGCCTGTAGCTGCAGGTTATCCATAAACTAAGTTATTGGAGAAATAATTTTAATGCTCGCTTTTACTGCCCAATGCAACGAAATCATCATCTAGCAGGCGATCACCTTTAGATAGGCGCAGAATTTGGCACCAGGTTCGTAGTTATTTCCTCATTGTCTCATATAAATATCGATTTCTTAAATGGTCTAGTTAGCCCACACACCATTAAATTTCCGTTATGATTTTGAAGACTCTTGAACCAAATTGAAACTGGTCTTAGCGTTGAGGAAAAGACGAGTCGATCGCTGGGACAATACTTGTATTTATCCGACATTTCGATATCCATCGCGGATTCGTCATGAGAGACATAGTCAGATAGCAATAGCAGATAGGGTAGCCCATGCACAGGAGTTTGCAGCTTTTATAGGATGCAGTAATTGCTGCAAACATACGGCGACAATTAACCGTGATTGCCTTCTTGAGTGTTGGTGGTCTGGTGAATGGCATGCGGGCTCTGACCTGCTGACCCTTCGTCACGCGTGGTGAACTCGGACGTGATGATTATCCGGTCATCTGGCCCTCTGATACTGGTATAGGATGAAAGGGTGGCCTGCCCGTTCCCCAAGCGGTGACTTGCTTTGGCCAAATTTGATCTCAGCACCAAATATTGATTGGGAAAATCGTTGCAGTTGTTGATGAATTGGGGCCCGTGAACCGGCACTCAAGTAATTCTCGGCTCACCCGATTGTCAACTCTTACGAGAATTTCGGCCTCATCAAATTTGAATGTGTGGCCGAGTCTTGTTGAGTGAGCCGCAATCATCGCGTCTGAGTCCACATCGCGTTATGAAAGGTCAGCAGGTCAGAGCCCGCATGCCGTTCAACAGACGCCAACACTCAAGAAGGCAATTAGGGTTAATTGTTGTCGTCTGGTTGCAGTAATTACTGTATCCTATAAATACTGCAAACCCCTGTGCATGTGCTTCCCTATCTGTTATTGCTCTCTGACTATGTCTCTGATGACGGATCACTGCGACGGATATCGAAACGTCAAGCGAATAAAAGTATTATCCCAGCGATTGAGTCGACTTCTTCCCAATCACTTCCTGGGACTGGCATGTTTGTTTGTAGTGGTCTTATTGGTATGTTCA